ATTTTAATAAAAGATGCTTGGCAGATGTTTAGCGCACACGGCGACTTTTGAATATTTAATACACTAACCTTACGTATATATATACAGCCAGTCATTTCACAAATTGTAGTCCCATAGCTTCCATTCAATCATTAAACTTGAATTCATTCATTCAAATTTGATAATTCAGAACGCTAAGTCATTCGTGACCTGAGTTACGCATCCGAAATGCTAATACGAGGACGCGTGTGACATAGAAACATAGACTCTATCACTACGACATAAGACACACGAGCTACGAATGCGTTGGCATGTCCCATTAGATATTTACGTGAGATTCGGTCATTGTTGAGGGTTGCTTCGAATAAATTGATACAACTGTTGAAATATTTTGTCATACCGATTTGTCACGGGCTGTCGCTGAATTGCTTGTCAGGATGACGTCAGCGGGGGCTTGAATTATAACGATTATGAACAATTAATCATTCATTCATTCGTTCACATTAATAAATCCTTTATCGATCGAGCCCTTTACGAATGACAAACATTTGAATGTACCATTATGTAAAAATTGCACAACCCATACAAAAATGCAGGCTGCGTCAATTCTTTACACTAAAAGCATTGTACAATAACTGATACATAAAGATAGGGATGTGAAAAAATAATTTAAACATAAAAAAAACTCGTATAAAATTGTACGCTATAAAATATCAAATAAAAATGTTAAAACATTTACAGCGAAGATGCTTTTAATGCGAAACGTTTAGTGTAGTAAGGTCTCGGGTAATGCTAAGGGCACCTCACCACTAATTGGTATAAATAAGTCTGGTGTACAATTTAATTGGGCATTTGTTTACATAGCGATGCTTATCTGTTAGTTAATATTAATAAGGTGCCGGCTAGCAATTGATCGCGGGGCAGGCGACCGATTAAACGGAATAGGTACTGCGATTTAACAACAACAAACTACCGTTTTAATTAATATACGACTACACATATATAGTTGAACTTAGGAACATTCAACATTTACTAATGACATTAAACAAGAACAAACTTTAGCTCGTTCATCTACGTACATACTTGGAAAACATTGATACATTACAGCATTTATACATTATATGTATATCTACAGTTCAGTCATGAAAAATACATACTTGAGTTTTCATTTGATAAATCACACTCATATACTCATATTCACTCTTTCCTATATTGAGTGATGATGAGTGTGAAAGCAGCCATTAAGGGAACACTGATATCTTCTTTCAGAACATTATGGCTCCAAAACCAATTCCTGAGATCATTAGCAATTTTAATACAATACCGCGGACTGAATTGAGGGTCAAAGGGCCGGAGGGTGCGACGTGCAATGATACTACACTCATACTCTACGAAATACATGAAGTATATAGTATTAAATCATACGAGAACATCATTTCACCTCTCATATACTATATTCTATATAAATAACTACTAGTGAAAGTTTAGATCTAGGTACAATGTAAATAACTTTTTCACGCACGAGTAATAACTTTTTCGATAAAACCTTTCTCATTTAATTAAACTAATTAGTTCCAAAAATAAAGACAATGTGTTAGATAGATACGATCGGTAGTTTTCGAGAATGTTAAAAACATAAAATAAATAAACATCTCCAAAAACACAATAAAATGAAGTTTTTTTTGTTTGTTAAATTTTAATATTGATAACAGGCGAATAGCAGCTTTCTTCCTTCCTTCTTTCAGAACGAACGTTCTTCTTGAGAAATTTTACTGATGGTCATTTTCAATACAAAGGCCCATTATGACGACCTGTGACATATTAGACAATATGTTTTAAAAACATTCTAGTCCGGTTTTACGTGTATATGTTATATAGTAAATTCATTTTAAAACAAAGAACAATTGCTCCTTTAACAAACTGTAATTTATTTCAATTACTAGATAATATTTCATTTTTTTATATCATTTATAATCGAATCACGAGGCTTTAGTGTAATCCATATTTTTATATAATGTCAAAGATCCTATACGGTTATTCCGTAACATATAAACAAAACAAATTAAATAATGTTTATGTATATGTAATGATATTTGTATTTTGTAATACCTTAACAGCTGTGTGAGCAGAGAGCATAACAAATTAGCGTCTATCAAAACGAAATCAAGAACCTCGCTGAGGCGGAGGAGGTATTACTGATTTGATGATGGATTATTATATTCCTATTGAACTTTTTAATGTTTAAAAGCGGCTCGTTTTGATCAGGCTAAACGCGGTTGAGGTTCACACTCTATACTGACCTGGACGAGATTATTGTGAATTAAAACATGCCAAAAATGAGTAAGAAACCTTATTGGACGACATGTAGAAGGTTATTAAAAAAAAATAGAACAATATCGTCTCATATGTATTATGTGTGCACTTTCCCGCGCTTATTACAAATTGGTCGCGGCCACTATGGGTCTATTATAACAGATCTTCTCTGTATTTCTGTACGCTCATTCTTAACGCCTTACTTGTTCTTATTTTGTATCCTTGTTAGCTTTTTATCTCATGACTTCACAGTTTTTGCGAGGTTCCACTCTGTTAACGTATGACTGCAGTAATATGTGTATATATAGTTAGTAATATTAGGAACTAAGCACTGAAACACTATCACACTTGATTGGTTCTTATATTAGCTCATCATTAAGTATGTGTGTGAGTGGAGGTTGATTTGTTGCGGAGCGTGAAGGCACGTCCAAAAGCCGTGTACCGTAATCTAGATACAGCTAGATCACAGTACACATGATCAAGGAATCATATTCCCATACATCCCGCATTCCCACGAGGCCGGCATAATGGCGGGCGGCAAATGACAGGCCGGGCGTTTCACACGCCTGCATCAAACACTTTGATTTGTCCAATGGACTCTAATGGCATAGCAATCACCTTATAGAATAGTCTTATAAATAATTAGAACAACTTCATAACGCCCCCCATATTAAATCAGTGAATCTCATAATGAATTATCCCTGTCCCTCCTCCGTATATAGTAAACTTTTAATTCGCAAATCAGAACGGGTTCATTGACCTTAATCTGTAAAAAGCCTCCCCGATCGCTCTCCCTGTGTATTCGAGCATCAAATACGTTACAACGTATCGATTCCCTTCAAGTATCACTTAATTAATTTGTCAGTTGCGTTTACGTGTTTTGGAGTTACGCATCCTCCTTCGATGACAGGCGAGAATTAATTTTAACTCTATCTAAATGGTTATTGAGTTGATATTTGAGTGATGAATATGTATGTATTTTTGTTTGTTTCGATAGGGACTCTGTTATAGTGTAGTTAAGGTCGATATTTGAATGTTTCGATATAAGGCATCGAGGCGTATGAACTAAAAACGTAGTGCCATGTCTCGGTTTTGGCAAGGAACCGAAGGGCCGTCCGCCGGCCGTCAGTGACGCGGTCATAATTTATCTGAGATGCGATCTAGACATGCAATTACCATATTAATTACTTAATATTTGTTTGACGTGCAGATTGAATGCCGAGTTTTTTGGAGGTGTGGAGTTTTTTTGAATTAAATTGATAAAGGTGTGAAGGATTTGAAATTAATCTCGCGGTGACGTCTCAATTTCAAATCTAAAAATAGTACTTTGTTTTAACATTAAAATTATTATATTTCAATATACTTTTTCCTCTACCAGTATTTATAAGGACAAACAACACATTGTAATAACTATACTTAACGAGGATGCTGTCATAAAAATCGGTCGGAGAGATCGGAAATCAATTTTAGTACCAGAAATATCACGTCACGATATCGGTGGCGATAACTGGAATATGAAATCCATACGACACCATATCGAGCGGTCGATAACGCACGCGACTTAACGACACTCGAAATACGGCAGGAGATATCATAAAACAGACAAATCATTGAATGTGACCGGCTTCATTGTAATGTATACTTTATAATTATACGAGCAAAGTTCACTTCGACTTGGATGCGATACAATGCAAAATTCCGCTACAGGAATATGAACTATATTACGAGGTGTTAGAGTCGTAGCAGTTGTATGTATATCCGATCTAATTTAAAGCGGGCGTGATGAGGAGCCGCTCGGACCTCATGCTGTGTGATTTACTTTATGCGCGGAGCTTAGCGACTATGGCGAGATTTTACGTCCGCATCAATAAAAAATTAAAAACATTATACACAGTCCCTTTTATATTATGCTTTATTTTTTCCGATTATCAAAATTCCCGCTCTATGTTTTATTTGAGACTGGCTACAAGATGGACATATTTTAACACAAATCTTTCGATCTTGTATAATATTTTTTGGTCTAATCCCATAAATGGTATAATTGTCACCAATTACAGCCTGAAAATGTAGTATTTTTCACGATTTATATATTAGAAAATATATAAATCCCAATCCGATATACAACCTTCACGGTCCACCACTCAGCCAGTCGTTATGTACACTCTGTGATATATTGTCTGTGGACCTGAACTATACTTACAACTGTAGCTTTATATGAAATACTTCACCGACTTCAATATTACACAACTAAAATAAATTAAGAAATAAAAGAAATACATCTTATATATAATCTAAAAAATTCGACGTCATAGTTTAACATGATTCTCGTAAATTATATTATTTATCTAATTTCAAATATTAAATTAAAAAAAAAAACTAAAAATTCAAATGGCTATAAACATAATATGTATCAGGTAAGCAACAACCCTAACAAGTGCACTGGAAAAAACTAATTAAAAAAACATTTTTACTTAAATCCGATTAAAAGTATAATTGGTTTAGTGTTTTTATTACAATTACTAATATAGCTGTATGGATGTACAAACTGAACGACTGATTGGACGACACGCCGTATTAACATTGAATTGGGTTTGAGTCCGCTCACGATAACAATATGAGAATATTACAAATTGATTCAACTCTGCAACGCGTTTTTAATTTGTTGCATTTTTAGTTATACTTAATTTTTACACAAACTACTTCTTGCTTTGATAAATTGGAACGGAATTGTAGGTATTTTGGTTGTTTTATGTGTATTAAATATAAAATTTGTTTGATTTATATGTATTTTTTTTAATTTTCAGATGAATCAGAAGTGCAAAGTTTGCGGGGAGCCGGCTGCTGGCTTTCATTTCGGTGCTTTCACCTGCGAGGGATGCAAGGTAAATATTCTAACAGTATTTAAAACAAAAACACATCTCCATACAATCTCAATGTGATAAATATTTTTAATTCATATTAAAAGTACTGGAATATTAATTTATTATTGAATAGGAAACTGTAATATACGTCGGTTCTGATTCACTTTCCACTAACTGTATCAAGGACTACGATCATATTATATATACATATATACAATCATATAACAGTCGTCTGTCTGTGTATCATTCTGATATATTTAAATGAACTGTCCGAGAACTGTTTGAAATTAATCTATATCGTAACAGCGAGTTTAACTTTATAATCATAATATCTTAATTTTACGGCAGCTTCATTCAAGCTAAAATCAACTCTATTGCATTCAAATCTTATAAAATATTAATAAAATTAGCATGCAAATATCACGATGTCCGGGAGTTCGCGTCAGTAGTCAATACACGCAACAACGCCGCTACACATTTTTTGTAACACAAACAAGAGGTTAGATTTCTCGTTCAAAGGATACGTAAATTGTAAGTAAATTGACTTTGCTTCCGAATAACATCCACCGAGCTCGAATTATTATGCAAACACTAATGGAGTACAAACATGTTATATTTATAATCAACATTTTCTAAATAACAATAATCTTATATAGATCTACGTACAATACCGCCTTTCTTACAACTATTGATGACACTCGATATAATTCTCATATATTCTCGTCATAAGGAAAATCGTTGTAAACACACGCTTCCTATTTAAGTAAAACCCAACACCTCTCATTCGTAACTCAGAAATATCAATGTCAACGACTTGTAATTGTTTCAATAAACAGATGAAAAAGGAGATATCAATTAATCGTCGAACAGTATTGAATAAAAAACTTAACTGATTTGACAGCGGAAAATTATTTTAAATAGAAAGTGAGCTCGAATTAATGACAAACAAATGAATTGTATGAAGGAATTACAAATGGACAAGAGGCTCGTTGTAGAGAAAATTATTTATATCTAGTAGTTTTTAATGAAAATATATTAAACGTTATTATGAGTTAAAACCTCGGTTTCCTTAAACGAATGTTTCTGTTGTGATATGAAGTGGAACTGAACAATGGTTGCGTCACGTGTCGCAGGATGTCGGGAACTCGGTCAATCTGTGACGTCACTTCCTTAGTTTACTACCATCCAATTGAGCAAACATTTAAATGAAAATATACCAACTGAGAAAATTCGCCGTCCATTTTATAGATATTTTAATAGTCTTTGAGTACACATATGAATATTTTAAATACATTATTGTTAAGTCGGTTAAAAAATTAATATTAAAAGAACAGTGTAACACACTTGTACTTAATGTATGTCGTTTTTTTTAATTCAATAGTAACATATAGATCGAGATGATTTTGATTGATGATAATGATTAAATGATAATCTGAGATCGGTCATGGTGTGCCGGACGAAATAAAACAATATAAAACATATGTACCGAACTGTATGGGACTGACTCGACATATATATACATATACATATATTGAAATAACATTAAAAATTCATCAAGTACATGAGAATATTTACAAAACACCAGTGACTATATAATTATAATAAATTATTATAATTACAACCAATAAATTGATCAAAATATAACCTACATAGCATAACCTTTGCCACTGGACAGTATATACACGTTAGAACTTTTATGGGCCATGAATTAACACACGCACTTCATCCTTGAGATCCTCCGACTGATTTATAATAAACATTTATAGTGTTAGAGCAAACTGAACGATTGAGACAATTACTTTAATAACTAATACTCAGAACCGGCATTAACGATTATCATAGTTTATAAGTTAGGTGCAATTTTTATCCTTCTATACAAGTCTTATATACAGTTGTTGTGACAAATATTATGTATAGAAAACAAGTGAAGTTTAAAATAAACATTAATAGGAATGAACAAACATAGTTGTACGTATCCATTAACAGTAAGTATAGTATTCGTTCTTTGTCGGTAGTTAGGTTGTCCGTGATTGATGGAGGCTAACAAAAACGTGTGACTCTCGCCTGTGCTCCAATTACCCGATGACTTACACAGCGATACATACATACGATATTTCTCATATGTAAGTGAACATAAGTTAATGATATTGCGAAACAGTTCGTCTCTCCTTCATAACATAGCGGGTGATATTTCAGGCTCGTCATTATATCTTCGCTAGTGCTGTTCCCAATCCTAACATGTAATGGCGCCGGTAATCTCCCTCGGAGCGGGTTGAGATCTGATCTTGTGATCTTGTGATCTCGTTCGAGCGAGGGAGCGGACGCGACACAATCGCACGCCACAAATTATATTCAAATTTAGATCAAATACAAATTGCAGTAGAGCACGCGAACGGAGAAGTGCTCTTTCGTAACCCGCAATAAATCATCTACTAATTTGTTTTTAAAGATTTTCTATTATGTGAGTGCATTGTGCGGGCTCATTGTGCGAGCGAACCTCAGTAGTTGAAAGACACCGCGCCGCTCCGTAATTTGTCACAGTACCAAACAAAACAAAAGTATCGCCTTTAATGGCCTGGGACGAGTCTGAATTAATCGGATTGTTACTTTATTCTTAATTGGGCGTGCTTTACGTAGCCGGCTTAATGTCCTGTAATGAGTTTTGCGCGAACTCATTTGTGTCTATGCCCCTTCTGCTATCTATTCATCTGGCTTTTAAGTTCAGATTCAAATAATTGCTGTGTATTTTTAACTATGCCTTGTTTCTCTTTCGTTATAAACCCTTACCTTGTAATAATCGATGGTAGTTAATTAAAAAATTTGGATCAAAATCAATCGCTTGGTTTGCGGCCGTCATATTGTAATAATATCATTGCGATAATCACGGCTTGAATCGATTCGATCCAACTGTGACGCCACCAATCAACTATATTTTGCATTATCATTTATTGTCGCGCCCAAATATTTTTGATTTAAATTATTTTTTAAGTGTTGAAGCACAGAGTCCAGAGTCGCCTGTAGCCGGTGTTAATTATTGTCATTGTTTTAGAGGTTATGAAACTGTCAACGGACGCAACTGTTGGCACACCGATGAACTTATTGGAGCATGGCGGTGATTTTTATTCGCGTCACGAAATGCATTCTATGTGTAGACTCCCAGAGAACGTTTACTCTGATGATGTACAGACGTCATACTAAACGAACCTTAACTTAATTGGAATACGAAAAACATTTTACGTTCTTCGTTACAACAAATTTTGGATACATGTAAAGGTTTAAACAGCCAATTGTTTTTTAACACGTAAGCTCACTTTAATTAGAACACCTCTTATATTATTTACTTTTGTTTAAATTTAAAGTAATATTTGATATCAAACGTGTTATATTGCCTCTGCCCTTCCTTCAGAGTTCTGTTGTGACAGATGTCATTGTGACACATGACTCTTTAAGTTTGTAACATCTGTGGTGATATATGACGAATGATAAGACTTCACATTCTAATGGGCGACCTTTACACAGCGGTCCTAGAACACTTGATATATATTATAAACGTATATCGTACATTAATATCGTACTAAACTGACTCCATACTAAACTCTGCCATATTTCAAACAGCTCCTCTTAGCAGATAACTTTTAACCCCGTGTATACAATTCATCATGAGGCCACGTATTTTGAACATAATTTAAATTCATATAAATATTCGAGTACCGAAACGTAACCGGATATCGAAATATCAGAAGCAGCGGCGCAGCATCGATTCACATTACACGATTAATCGATTGTAGCCTAATGTCAGGCGTAATCAAAACATCGCAGCCACAGGTCACTGCGTCTCTTAACCAAACGTAACATGACACCACCAACGAACACACTGTACAGATAGAACAGAGTGCGCTCTCTAACAAGAAAGTCGCATTTTAATATAATATTTTTGATAGCGCCTCCGATATGAAACTGAGGTCGATCGTTCCTAATCTGAAATGTTCTCACGCGTCTGAACGTGATCATTTTAGCATTTGATCACGGTCCGGCCGATGTTTGTGGACAATTTGTCAATGTGAATGAATACGGTGCATGTGTTTGTGGTGCATTCGTTATCCGATTGTTTGCATGAAAAAAAAAGGCTTGTAGATTATTAATCGCATTAAAAAATAACCCGAGATCCTCGACAAAGATAATATGAAGTTAATATATGATTCCAATACATTAATTTTAAATATTATTAATAATTTTAAACACACGTTAACGTAATGTTGGTTTTAATGGAACGTTTGATATTAATTATATGATTTCAAGGAGGACGAGACATTCGCGGAAACATCCCATGAGCAACATACATACATATGTATGTACAAATTATTCAATAAATAAACCAATGACAATAATTTTTCAATTGTCACTTACACACGCAGTACGTGTAATATTTCACATATGGAAAATTAATCAACCTTTGATATTTTAAGGAGATAAAGTTTATACATTTTTCACGTTACTGTTGACGGGTGAACAAATTCATCTTTCAATCCCTATTAATGTATCGTAATATATAATATTATTGATTATCGCTCAGGTCACATGCTCAGTGTCGGTTTCCATTTCTTAAACGTTGGAATAATAATGTTTATTATTAAAGTAATACCGGTCAGCCGTCAGCCGTCTGCCGTCTGCGGTAGGTATGCAATGAATACCATAAAATGTGCTATAACTTTTATACCCCGCTTTATGAAGTCCTAATGGTGTAGAAGAGAATTTGCTCAGGGCACCATTTATGACGGTTACAATGTACCGCCATCTCTCTGTAATGACACCGACTATTTAATAATATTAACTATATTCATTTATCTACTAGGATATAGATACTAGGATAAGATTTTTTTTTATATTTGTTAAGTACTAAAGACATTCACCATCCTTCTCGTTGAGAGAAAGTATTATATTTGTTGAACATGTTCAAAGTTACTATTATTAAAGTTACTGTAACCTATTACTTTAATGCATTGTATAATATGATTCTAATGTACCGACAACACGACTACGACACGACGGCGACACGGAGACGATACGATCCGCAGTTATCAGAGATGTTATTGAACGTAATAAATGTTATTAAATATTAAACAAGTTGACATTTCCTTTTTTGATTGCCGATTGCTGATTCTGTTGGAGTAGAAAATATGAACTCGGTACATGAGGTGCAGCTTTTGATATTCGAATTTATCGTGAAGCTATTAAACACAGGTCTTTTATAGACGATAAATAATAACGGTCGATTCATAAAAACTAAGATCTTCCGTACTTGATAGCATTTATGGACACTAAATCAAACTAATTGCAAAAATAGATACAATTTTATTATTTACTCTTATTAAATAATAAAATAACACACTGTTAATACGTCCATCAGGAAAGAGAATAGATTTCGGTTGCTATTAAAGTAATACGATTTGAAATAAGATAATAATATATCCCAGTGTTCCAATTGTTGTAAACATAAAAATATATAATATATAACTAATAAGTAGATTCTCAAACGACATCGAGAGGCAGAGTTCAGAGGTGAAAGCGTCTGCGGCGCACGTCCCACTATTAAAATTATGCAGCATTATTACACAATGTACCAGAAAATCAAGCGCCTTGATAACATCCTCTTTACGGCTTATAAAATTAATAAAGTTTACTAAACAGCCGATGTCATCACTTACTATATATAATATTTATATAAACCAAACCGAAACTTAAGTTAGCAATGAATATACCAATTGTTATACTTAAAACAGAGAAATGGTTTAAAAAATACGCCATTTAACTTCAATTTTGTGTGTCATAGCTATACAAACAGACTCATAATATATATAACGGTGTGACATATGACTATCAAGTCTATTAATAACCAGACAACATGCGCCGGAGAGCGGTCGGTCCGGTGAGAGGTTGCAGGTCAACTAAAAATTGTCCATCTCTGAGACGACTTACATTGCGAAACCCCGTATAAACCTGCATGTTTACTGTAGCTGGTTTTAATATCATATTATTTAAATGTATTTATTTCTGATGAGACTGATCGCTACACACGATCTTTATGTTATTTTTGTTCATGCATATATTTAAAATGTTCTCGTTGTACGCCGTCTGTATGTACCGGCACTGAACGGTCGGAATATGTATAATAATACATATATTTATTAGCATAAGACATTAAATGTTAAAATGTCACCTTCAGAGTGTTGGTCGTTGCGCGGGCGCCCATCGTATCTTACAGTTGATCTCAAACGCTACGCATGCAGATCACGCGCGGAACGCGATTTAAAGATGGCATTGTTTCAGTTTAAATTCCTCATCTATGACGCGATCACTGCACTCGGATTAGCATTCTAACTGTGTTCTCATATTTTGGCAATGTACCGAAACTATTGATAAACGGGAATCTTTATAAGTTTATATACGAATGTAACAAACACTTTTTATTATTATAACATCTCGAATACTTTTAATTCTTCAATATTATTGAACAGGATTAGATTTTCCAATGTTATTTTTCTCTATTAAACCACATAAGGAATAAAAAGCTTACAAAACAATAGATTACATAACAACTTCAGCGAATACTCAAGGTCGAAAAACGAAACCGTTTATAAACGGACGAAGCCAACTGGAACCGTACCTGTGGCCTATATACAGAGGAAGTGCCGTCTTAGACCGTAAATACTACGTTTGAGAGACCGTGAATTCACTTTCAACGTTACGCACTCGACTTGCGACCAGCAAGCCGTGTAAATATAGATTTACATGATGTATATCGTACTTGTCTGACTAGATTAAGTTAAAAATAGTTTTTAACAGTAATTTACATTAAGAGTTTCATTTTAAGAACAAAAAATCAATTCACGCAATTAATTGAACAAGAAATAGAATTTAAAGTAATAATTAAGTATATTAATTTTGAAAGAACTATGATTTTAAATTATATGTTTCTTCTTTTCCAGTCATTCTTCGGCCGCTCCTACAATAATCTCAACTCCATTACGGAATGCAAGAACAACGGCGAGTGTGTTATCAACAAGAAGAATAGGACAGCATGTAAAGCCTGCCGACTACGAAAATGTCTGATGGTGGGCATGTCAAAGTCTGGCTCCAGATACGGAAGACGTTCAAATTGGTTTAAGATTCACTGTCTCCTTCAAGAGCAACAGCAAGCAGCTCAATCACAGTCACCCCCCAGGATGCCACAATCTCCGCACATGGCGCCTCCCTTTCCGCCTCATCTGTTCCCTGGACTAGCGAGACCACGGTCAAAAGAAGAACTCGCTCTATTGAGCCTCGACGATTACAAGATGCCCTGCTCTGGATCCCCAGATTCCCACCGAAGCGGCTCCTCACCTAAATTAGATGAGAAATCAAGGCTCACACAATCCCGGCCACCCGACAGACCCTTGACACCACCAAGAGATGCTTTCCTCCATCTTCCACTAGCCAATATATCCTTGCCACACTTCCCACATTCGCCGTTTCTACCACCGCACCATTTCAATACATTCCCTCCAAACCATCCATTATTATTTCCACCTGGATTCCATCCGATTTATTCTAGACATTTACTAGATCACGCGGCACTCAGGCAGGTCGCTGAAAACAACAATGACGTTAGAATCGACGATAACAACACGGACTCGTCGAAGCGATTCTTTTTGGACGAGATCTTAAAACAACAGAGATCAAACCAGCCCGCACAGGAAGACGTCATATCGGAGGCTGAGTTCGTGCCAACACCTCCGGCAGAAAGGAGAACGTCAGAGTCACCGTTACAGGAAAATCCGATGGATCTGTCCGTGAAATCCGACGGTAGATCGAGTTCAGCGAGACGAAGGTCCGATGATAGTGAGATAATCACTCCTGACAACGATGACCCGGAGACTGGCAGCGACCGAGCGTCGGCCAGTGACGAAGAGGACATGGCGTACTCTCAAATAAAGAGGATCAAACTCCATCCTCTCGACTTAACGACTAAAGTCTGACGCGAGTGACGTCACCACTCACCACCATGTCGAAGGCCAGTAAATCTATGGTGAATAGATTAGGGAAGTGTTTGTTGAATTGTTATCGATTGAATAAAGAGTCTATCCAAATACGTATGTTAAGTAATTTCTAAATGGTAATGTTATCGGTGAACCCCGGTCGAAGGTTGTACAAATTGAGTGTAAATACTAAATTATTCGTATACTAAGTTAGTTTAGTTAGGACGGTTTTAGTTTTGAATGGAAATGCTGCCCCGCGGAAAATAATGTAAAAGCATAATATGGTATTAAATATAATTTATTTAATTTTAGTAGAATTTTGATTGAAGTGTTGTTTGATTTCAACTTAACTTCGGGTGCATTGTGAATTTTGTTTTTTATTATTCCTTATCTAATTTAAGTTACATTTTAAACACACTCCCTATGTTACGTCTACATTCCTATAAACGTGTGTACATGTTATATATATGTATTTCTGCTGATTGCTCAATGTTGCAATTTTTTCTTAAATATTTTTGCTGTCTTATATACTCAATGTAGTGAAATTTAGTCGCAAATACATACTCAGTGTTATTTTTATGAGAATCATTTTGTACATATTGTTATTTTAAGTAGCATGTTCTTGAGATGAAATGATGCATTCACGGAAACGTACAAAATAAAATAATCAAGCACTCGATTTTTATAGTTTTATTTTACAACAAAACCTAACAAAACATTGACTTCTCCACTATTACCTAGTACTTACATATAAGAAATCATTTTATAAAGATCCGTAATAATCTTTTTAATAAACAACATCATTTTGGAACTAAATCAAAACACTCATTGAAACTTAATTAATATTATTTTTATTGATAACTGTTCGTGTCATCAACACTCTTGTCTGAATGCATAATTTATTTTTATTAAACTTCTAATCGATACTAATTTATGTTAAATAAATATTTATCGATAATTTTATAAAACAAATTACTGATTACTGATCAGTAGTTTCCAGAAAAACTACTAATAATTTATATGTATACTAAAATTACACTTACGGATTTATGATTGCCGACGGCTTTTTCTATTTTAATATAATTCTATCTACCCTTTAATCCTTAAAAAAACATTTCATTGGCTACTTGAAGCTATATGTAGGAACTATATTTAGAAGGAACTATATTCATATACATAGATATAATCTCAATTATTGTGTCATATTAATTAAAATAATTATATAGGTATATGATTATTCAAAGCTGTCCAACAATAATTGTGGTTTTTAAAGTCATGAGTTCACTTCACGCAAATATAACTATTAATTAATTTAAATTAGTAACAAATATAAATATCGTGTAACACGAAGTCTATTTTCAGTTAATTATTTAATATTTGTATTTATACAAAGGAATCATATTTTACTCTTTCTGTTTAATATCGACAGATGAAGCTATTAATATAATAAATAAAATCTTTTCATGACACAACATTAATAAAATGAATAACGGTTTAATGAAGAAATGAAGAAGAAAAATAAGACAATATACTTTAATAGATACCACATTTAGACAAAATTAAGATATACTTTATTACATATGAATACGATAAGACTTAAAATAGTTAGTGATACATAAAAGACGTCACAGTTATAAATATAATAGTCCGTTTACTTCAACATACAACATCTTTTTTATTCTAAAGTAAATGCTGTATACGTAATATATGCGCATACTTCAAATATATGTTTCAGTTCTTATATGAAAAAATGAACATAAAATGATTATGTAACACTGATAATTCTGTCCCTAGATAATGATTGAAAACGATCGTTTTAAAAAAACTGTGAACATTATACTATAATGAATCGCTATTAAGGTTCGACATACAAACAGTAAATATGTACGAAGTTCATAGGCTAGATATATATGTCATAATAATATTATGATAACACATACATTATACATAAAAAAACTATATAACTATACTATATAATAAAAAACTATATACTCTTTAGATCGAAGTTATAGTATCCGTTAACTTACAACTTAAAGTCAGAATATTTTATCCTAAGACGCGATGTTTCCCGACCGTAATAATGATTATGATTACGAGTACATATTAAAACAAATAGTTCTTACGAAAATCCTTGAATACTCAAAATCTGTAAGCCTAACACAAGTTTGTGTGAATTTATGTATGGGTTTATCGTTTTTAAATCTCCACATATTATAGTACTACAGTCGAGTATTTTACGGGAAAGGTGAAACGCTTCATATGTAGTGTTACGATCAAAACTTGTGGTAAGCGTACAGATTTTGCAGTATTACTTAATATCAAATTAACTATATTATAAAAATTAATATGAACAACAGTTACAACGCTTGTCCGTTAAGAAGAACAATGTAGAAATAAAATTGCACGCAATTATCAATTTACCGGTTGTAAGCACTTACGAAAATATACGAGAGTCAAAAGATCATACATTTCGTTTATTGCTAAACATTGTTTTATGATTTATAGCATTGGAATTACTCCTGAGGGTAGTCTGATAACTTAATAATAACAATAAAATATACGAGAACACTAAAACCATCAGAAGAAAGTTCACACGCGAGTAAAAATTGTTGTTCATTATTACTTGAAAATATTCTTAACTCGGATACTGTACTGTTGTTTACTTGGCTCAGTTCAGTTACTGTTAAAGCTTCAAGAACAAAACGAAACAATTGATAGATATCCATAAGGTTTGCTGTGCTTAGATATAGTCGCATGTGAACGGCGCTCCTTGACCTCAGCCACGAGCATCTTCGCACGTCGACTTACATTCAATGGATAGGATACGTTATGTAAGAAATAATAACAGTTTAAACTTTGAAAATTATAGTATTAGAAGGGTTGTCTAGAAATAGTCATGTTAGACAAGTTGTAGTTAATATATTTTTATTTAACGGTACCTAAACACACAATGAAACATTCGAATATTTCAACTTATTATAGATCCACGATGTCATGTGATATATTTCAAAAAGAAAGCGTCTTATGATAAGTTCAATAACCAGTGTTATATAATATCCAATAAGATCCTGCCACATCTAGAAGTGCTAATTCCGCACAAGCAAGTCTAACGCAAGTCGAAACCACTTGTGTAACAGTAGTATAGCTCACAATAACCGCCATGTTATAGGTCATTTTGTATAGTGAATACGTAATTAGGAGGGTCCGATGCTTTCAAAACAATTTACAATCAATTCTATTAAAACCGTTAAAGCCAATAATTGCTTGGGAAATATGAATAGAGATGTATGTCGAGTTCATACTGATATCATTACGGCATGAAGTCATCTTGTACATATTTGTACATACGATGAAGAGTTCTAAACAAATTTCCTACTAGAGTAATTCATTCAATGTTCCTTTTTATCTAGAAATTTTAAAGTGCTGCTTATATTTTGAAGTTTCGATAAAAGATGATTATCGAATAGTTAAAATAAATTTCAATATGTATGATAAAAAACACAATAAAATGCATAATTTGTGTTTCTTGTACATGTGTAATATATTGAGTGTATAACCATAACTTTATGCGTCCGACACAAAGAGCCGACGCATGTCATATCTCAAAATAATATTATGTCAAAGCTCGGCTTTCGCCGGAGGCTTTTAACTATAATGTGTTAATTTTCACACACTTTTATTACGGACACACACACGCACAATTTTATTACTGACATGAAACGTAGTCATATGGAATTAATTTCACAATAGAACTCAGATCGGCGATGTATTATCTGGGAACGATACGGAAAAGGTAACTTTTAAATATTAATAAAATTACATCATATAATATTGTGGAAAAAAGTAGTCTAGTACAGTCCAGAACAAATCATATCCAGAAACATTATTGATCATTCCTCAGCCACTCGAATGAAATTACTCCAATCTGTCCAAAATTGGGAAGTGAAAAATTAAGTGTGTAATACAGAAATCATTCCTATAAAGAACGGTACTTACTACCAAAAAGACAACTTCTCCTATGTCTTCCTTATAATCCGCAACTATTTTTCTAAATGGCTATAGTTATCATAGCCACTACCAAAATGAAGCCACGAAAGATTTCAACTCTATAAGATTAGCTACTAAAGATCAGGAACACCATCTGCTACTTCACAACACTAATATAAAAACACATTTTCATATAATATAAATCAATTCCAACAACGCGGTACTTAATATTCTAAAATTAACAGATATGATAAATGTACATATGAGAGACCCTGTAAAATTGCTATACATTATATATTTTTTTTATACCAATATATATCAACTTTTTGCAGTAATATTGCCGTATAAAGTGCGCTATGTTTTAAAAATAATGAGTGTGGTGTGCGCACGCGCAGCAGGGAATTGATATATGGTGACACGGAGCATAGATCACTGACGACGCTGGCGCTTGTGATTTGTACTAATTTTAATACAAGTTCATATAATTATAACGACCTTGAATAAATTTATAAGCCGTACACCGTCTGTAGAAATAAAGAGTACTTTTTATAATGTTACGAAACTTATTTTACTAATCATATGCAGGTAAATTTTAACTGCAAAGATTTGTATTTAATAATTTATTTCGTATAAAAATTTCAAGTTATACTTATGAATTTTTATATTGTACATATTTTTTCCACAAAACTGTTAATTTACAGACAAAAATATATTCATTTCCATATAACTGAAAAGGTTATCGTTGAAACAGAATATTAACAAACTTATACACGTAGAGAAGGTGACTACTGACTAGTATGTTAGATATCTTTATTCAGAATCACAGTGAAATTTATTCATTCAAATATTTATAATTATTGGCTACAGTCACAGCTTCTCCTAATCCAACTATAGTAGTAAGTTTTCCTGGTAAGACAGGAACTGCCTACCCCTGAACAGATAGTGTCAGTCTAGTCATTATAATATGTATATTCGGTCCTAATGAACACACTGATGTATAGTATTTTAAATTC